GACGCTATAGCGAGAAGGGAGTGGGGCGGTATAAGTAACTGCCTCACGAATAAGTGTGTTAGTATGCGACTCTGATACTTTAAAGAAGTTTTCAGAGAATTTTTTAAGACATTGCTGGATTGTTGGGATTTCTAAATCCCGGTGAAGGTCGGCATTACGGACGTACCAAGGTGCGTTCGTAGCTCGACGACAGAAGAGGTTTTGAACTACTTGGAGTTCGTTAATAATTTTATCGTTAGCGTGTGCAAAAATAGGAGCCGAGTAAGTCATAACCGGTCGTATACAAACCTTATAGAGGGTTCGCTTATTTCGTAATGACATTTTGCTATGTCTGCCTAACATACTGTTAAGCCGACCTAAATAGAAACGTGCTAGACGCGTTACTCTTTTGACATGAGACTCAAAAGTAAGCCTATAGTCAAGGGTGACGCCTAAATATTTTGCTGACATGTGCCATGGGACAGGGGTCCCTAGCATTCGTATAGGTGGAGTATTTTTCTTGTTTTTATTACGGCGTCTTTTAATATCGAATTGAATACACAATATATTCACTATACGACTATACGTTCTCAACGCGCGGGATACTGAAATCGTCGTTTTTTTTTTTTTTTTTTTTTGCGCCCGAAGCAATTGGAAAAGGGCTACCCCGAAGGGAGGCAGAAAATGCATTACGCATACCACGATGGCCGGTCCATCGTGGTTATGAGGGACTCACTACCTACAAGGGGGAACCTAAGTGATACCCTCTAAAAACTGCCTTTGGGGACTGGCAACCAGCTGTTGAAAGCTTCACATGCCGTATCGTAAAGCGACCCTCTTTTGGGAAAAGAGGGCGCAGGCGGCTATAAGCCGCTGAGGGAGTGCCTGGGAAGGCAAATTAATTATGAATGAATAACTTAATTAGAGTTGGCCTGAGCCGCCAGGAGGCAGTTCAGGTCGTTTGAAAGTTTATTAGGCGGGTCCGAGAGGGAGTTCCTCGGCCTGCGGACGCTATAGCGGGAGGGGAGTGGGGCTGCATAATTAGCAGCCTCACGAATAAAATGATTGGAATGCGACTCTGAGGCTTTGAAGAAGTTCTCAGAGAGTTTTTTAAGGAATTGTTGAATTGTAGGGAGCTCTAGGTCCCGATGAAGGTCGGCATTGCGGACGTACCAAGGTGCGTTCGCACCTCGACGACAGAAAAGGTTTTGAACTACTTGGAGTTCATTAATAATTTTAGGGTTAGAGTGGGCGAAAATGGGGCCCGCGTAGGACATGACTGGTCGTATACAGACCTTATAAAGGGTACGCTTGTTTCTGAGGGACATTTTACTGTGTCGGCCCAACATACTGTTGAGCCTATTCAGGTAAAAACGTGCGTGACGGGTTACTCTTTTGACGTGGGGCCTGAAAGTTAGCCCTGTGTCTAGAGTGACACCTAAATATTTGGCAGACGTATGCCAGGGGACAGGGGTCCCTAGCATACGTATTGGTGGAGTGTTTTTGAGACGGCGTCGTTTATAATCGAAGTGAACGGCGGAGCTCTTCTCCGGGTTCACATCGATGCGCCATTTTTTGAACCAAGCTCCTAGGTCATCAACTGACTTTTGGACCTTGTTCCGTATGAAAGGTAGCGAGATACCTTTGCAGTAGAGAGCAGTGTCGTCTGCGAAGAGGGAGAGCTGAACACCTTTCGGCGGAATGGGAATGTCGTTGGTGAACAGTATGTACAGCAGAGGAGCAAGAACTGAGCCCTGAGGGACACCAGCTTTGATGGGGCGCTGTGAAGATAGCGTGCCTTCGTGTCTAAAACGAAAGGTACGATGATTAAGATAAGAGGCCACGAGACGTACTAGACGATCGGGGAGACCTATTTTGTATAGTTTGTAGATAAGGCCTGTATGCCAGACTCTATCGAAGGCTTTGGCGATGTCGAAAAAGACGGCGATAGTCTTATGACGACGGGGATAAAAACCGCTGAGGATATATTCCACAATACGGTGAACTTGTTGGGGGCAGGAGTGTTTCGCTCGGAAACCGAATTGATGGGGAATGATAAGAGGGTCACCGTCTGTGGGAAACAGATGGCGCCTCATGCGATTTTGAATGACTCTTTCAAAGAGCTTGCCCATGGCCTTGAGGAGGCTAATGGGACGATGACTGGAGGGGAGATTAAGAGGCTTGCCTGGCTTGGGAATACCAATTACAGTTGCCTCTTTCCACGTAGTGGGAAAGTAACTAAGGTTGAAGCAGGCATTGAAGATAATAGATAAAAGGGTTAGCACCTGCTCAGGAAAGTTTTTTAGGGCTTGGTTGGAGATGCCATCCGCGCCCGGAGCCTTTTTAGGCTTAAGTCCTTTGATGAGGGATGAAAGCTCATCATTGGACACAGAGATAGGTTCGGAGGCTGTAGGGGGCGAGTTCCGGCGGCGGACCTCATCCTCCACTGCCTGGACGTGTGAGGGGTCTACGGGTTGAGAGCTAGGAGAGCATTGAGCGGCAATGCTGTCTGCAAAGCACTCAGCCTTTTCCTCGTCCTCGAAGGCTACCGTACCGTCGGGACGGGAGAGAGGGGGAGTGTGGAAGATAGCGTCTATGCGGAGGGCTCTTGCCATCTGATAGTACGCTGTATGAGAGGGAGAGATATTCTCCATGAGCTTACTCTTTTCGAGGTCTCGAAATTCAGAGAGGCGGAAACGGAGTTCTCGTTGAAGACGATTGGCCGTGCGCCTATATTCGGGCGTGGGATATTTTGCTGCTCTCCGGAAAGCAGCTTTTTTGGCTTTTAATAGGTTGCTAATATGCAGGGGAAGCCCACTATTATTAGCAACCGGGACGACCCTTTCATTCTCCTTAAGGGAGGTTTTAATAAGGGTGGAGAGTGAATCGACCGCGGTGTCGATTTTTTCAGGACTGTCTAAGTCCGAAGATAGGGAGATGGGGGAGTCCTGTGAGTCCAGAGCTTTCGCTAGGGACTCCTTGAAGCCCTTCCAATTTGTGAAGGTTTTAGTAGAGGGTGTTGGGAGTGGTGGCTGATGGCCAAGAATGAGAGAGACCGGTCGGTGGTCGGATCCTAGATCGTCTAGTGTCTCGATTGCCCTAAGGTTGAGAGAAACTCCTTTGAGTAACGCAAAATCTAGTACATCGGGGGCATAGTCGGTGTTATCGGGAAAGTGAGTAACACCGAGAGGACTGTGGACGGTAATATCAAGAGACTGCGTGATATCGAGCAGTAACTTGCCACTACGGGTGGTAGTACGGCATGTCCATTCAGTATGCTTGGAGTTAAAATCTCCAAACATAATGACTGAATTGCCTAGAGATAAAATAGCCTCAAAATCTTTTTTGAGGGGAAGGGTTTTAGAAGGGATGTAACAGGAGGCTATGAAGATGGACTGACACGTACACGTTATACAAATAAATAACGAAAACAAAATTAGAAATAGTTAACAAAAGAATTAACAATAAAAATAACAATAACAAGCAAGACCAACAGTCAAACCGCCCCGCCCGGAGACAGGGAGGTAATAACTGGAGTTAGCGTAAAATGACTCACCAAGGCGTCGACGCTGTAAGCGCGAGCAGGACAGCGGAGGCGCGAGAGCGAGAGAGCACTACCGTACGGGGACGGATGCGCGGACTACCTGGACACGACCGCTCGAGAGCGGTGCCACAGGCGGAATGTTTTTTTAAACTCGCGACGTTCCTTTATATAGCCAGCATCGATTCGCCACTAGGTGGGGTGGGGATCGCGAACGCAACACGTTTGCGCGGTCGGTCCGGTCAGACTTTTAGTTAGTTGGAAAATCTCAAGTCAGAGTTGGGAGTTGGGAGTTGGGAGTTGGGAGTCGGGCAGTCGGGCGAGGGCGAAACGAATGTACTTGTAAAGAAGAAAAAAAGAAGAATACTAGGTAGCAGCAATAGGATATAACGCGTTAGAATAGAATAGTATAATATATCGTCGTCGAAGAGGAAGAAAAACGAAAAACTGTAACAAGAAAATTAGGGAGTGTGAAAGTGATAATATTATTTATATACATAATATTATACGTGTTACGTTCGTGTAGGGTCTCGTCGCGTCGCGTCGCGTCACGTCGCGTCGCGTCGCGTCGCGTCGGTCGGTCGGTCGGTCGGTCGGTCGGTCGGTCGGTTCGGTTCGATTCGATTCGATTCGATTCGGTTGTGTTATCTATTTTACCTAGGCACCTATTAAAATTTTTTTAAAAGTGTGAACGTAGTACGTTGAATTCGTTGAGTAGGTGGTGTGTATATATATATATATATATATATATATATATATATAGAGGTATTTAGTGTTTCGTAAATTGTTGTAACGCATTTACGACGCATCTACGTTTATTGTTTTAATATACGTGTATTTAGCTTATTCGAATTTATATACCTACTTAGTTAAATCGTTATCGTGCGTTCATAAGTTGTGCGTTCGTTATTTCGTTGCAATGTTTACATAATTACATAATATTTTATATTATATTATATAGAACTGCCTGACAGACTGATTTGATTGAAGTGAGGGACGGTGCGATATATATAATATAGGTAGGTAATATATATAATAAGGCAATCATTATGATTGACGCGTGACGTATAAGAAACTCATAGGAAATTTTTGTTAGCCCTGAAAAGGGCTTTTTAGCATTGCGGTCGCTCGCGCATATTCGTATACGACGCGACACACGTACACCATTTATTTTTATAGGTATTATTTATAAGAATAAAATAAAAATAAATAGGCCCGATGCCGCGGCGCTACGAGGCACTCGCGTTCACCCGCGAGGATCCTTCTCCCGTCCCGTCCGTCCCGTCTTGCTGTCACTCTGCCTGCCTGCTTGCCTTCCTACCTACCTACCTACCTACCTACCTACCTACCTGTCTCTCAGCAGCATCAGCCTGCATGCACTACACAATCACATACGCGCGTGACAATTACGCGTACGAGTACGTACGTAGGTAGGTACGGCGGCGGTGGTTATGACGACGGAAGGCGGTGACAGCGGACCTTACTTTTTAGAAGCGGCTGCCTTCTTCGATGCCGCCGCGGAAGGCTTCGATTTGGGTGTTGCCGCCTTCTTCGGTTTTGGAGCCTTAGGTTTCTTTGTCGGTGGTTTGGCGCTCTTTTTCGCCTTCGAAGCGGCGCCTTTCGCCTTAGAAACGCCGCTTTGGCCAGCGGTTGCGGATTTTCTTGCGGCTGCCGGCTTCTTTTTCGCGGCGGCCGCCTTCTTGTCCTTGGTAGCTGCAGACGGTTTTGCCTTAGACGGTGATGATGCGGTCGCTGCCGATGCTGTCTTTTTACCCTTACCCGCGGCGGTGCTCTTCTTCACCTTCGCCGACACCGAGCTAGCGGCGGACGCGCCGCTCTTTGCGCCACCGCTGCTCTTACCCGTCGACGGTTTCTTAGAGGCGGACGATTTTGATTCAAGCTTAAAGGAACCGGAAGCCCCCTTGCCCTTTGTCTGTATAAGCGCACCCGATTCGACTGCGCTCTTCAGGTACTTTCTGATGAACGGAGCTAGTTTTTCAGCGTCGACTTTATATTGAGCGGCAATATATTTTTTTATCGCTTGCAAAGATGATCCACTGCGCTCTTTCAGCTCTTTAATTGCGCTGGTGACCATTTCGGAAGTCTTCGGATGAGTGGGTTTCGCCTTGGCCGCGCGAGGCCTCTGCGGCTATGCGTTCGAAGATGTCGTTAACGAAAGAGTTCATTATGGACATCGCTTTACTGGATATACCAGTATCGGGATGCACCTGCTTGAGCACCTTGTAGATGTAGATGGCGTAACTCTCCTTCCTCTTGTGCTTCTTCTTCTTCTTATCCGACTTCGAGATGTTTTTCTGTGCCTTACCAGACTTCTTGGCGGCTTTACCACTAGTTTTCGGCGGCATCTTGAAGAATATTTAATGTAAATGTGATCACGGATAATACTAAATTATCACTGAACAACACAAAATTTTTTTTTTCTTATATAACGACTATCACGGTGACTCTACTAGCTAGTGGTCTAACGAGCGTATCGAGTGTAGATCAACCAATCAACGACCAGTTTGCCCGGACAAATGGAAGGGGTAGGGTAGAGAGTAGGGGATACGGGCGGAAGATTAGTTTAGAAAGAACGCAAATTTTATTTTATTAAACATTCCAATATAAGTAATATATAATTATACTAATACCCAATTATTTTAATAAAATAAATCATTATCGAATATTTTATAATAATAAAATAACTACTGATAATGTTTTAATAATGCATGTAAATTTATAATTAACATAATACATTGAGTCCATTTATCGCGGCGAGGCAATCCTCTAATCCATCTAAAGCCAACGGCAACGGTGAAGTTCATAAGAGATTTTTACTACATAATATGTTGAACGGTAAGTATTTATATATGTTTCTCTTAAAAAAAAAAAAAAATATTTTTTTTTTTTTTACCTTTTAGTCTATTGATTATTATTAATTCATAATAAATATGGCTTTCGTCTTATCGTTACCATTACCAATAGAAAGTAATAGCGTACAAAAAGGAATAAGGTATAGTATAGGAGGAACTGAGGAAAGAGGCTTTAAAGAACGTTCGCATTCTAAGAGACTAAATTTATAAATTATCGATAGTATTTGTGGCCCTCAAAAGGGCCTTTTAATCACGTACCAACCACCACGAACGGTAGATAACAATAGAGCAGTAGAGACACGAGTCGACGGACGGCGAATGCACCATTATTATACTAAAGAGCGTAAAACAGAATATGCAATACGTATATAGTACAATTAGGGCATTACCGATCGATAAAACGTCGACGCATACTCTCGTCTAAAGTTCTCAACCATTTTCTTGGGCCTAGTGGTGTGGTGTAGTAATGCGACGGGAGTAGTGTACACACTCGTTTAGGCCTTCTTCTCGGTCTTCTTGGGAAGAAGGACCGCCTGAATGTTGGGTAGTACACCGCCCTGGGCGATCGTCACACCGGAGAGGAGCTTGTTCAACTCTTCATCGTTGCGGATGGCAAGCTGAAGATGTCTCGGTATGATTCTGGTCTTCTTATTGTCCCGAGCAGCGTTACCGGCCAACTCTAGAACTTCAGCGGCGAGGTACTCCATGACTGCGGCCAGGTACACCGGAGCGCCGGCACCCACACGCTCTGCATAATTTCCCTTTCGCAGCAGCCTGTGAATACGTCCAACGGGGAATTGTAGACCGGCACGATTCGAACGGGACTTTGCCTTTCCCTTCACTTTACCGCCTTTACCACGTCCAGACATTGTCGTTAATACGTAATAATAAAATTCTAGAAATGTAGAAAATTAAACACTCGTCTCTATATAGACGACGTCAACACCGATATAAACTAATTTTTTTAACTATTTTCTGTGATGTTAACGCTGTTAACCTATGCGGTTCTTACAGCTTCATCGGACGCAGGGCTGTCCCCTCCGTAGAGGTTTATTTTGAGCTATCTAACCGCAGTCCGAGGGGGGGAATGCGAACCCCTGCCTCTGACTGCTTAGCTCGTATCGGTCGATGTTCTGGGCGGTGAGAACCGCCCAGGCACGCGGGTGTACGGTGTGTACGCGGTGTGTGTTGGAACGCGTCGTGCCCGCCTACGGGTGCGACGCGCCCCTTCCGTTGTCCTATTAGTGTTTGTCCCAATTGGTGTGGGTGTAGTGTCAGTGTGTGATGTGCCTGCGACGTTTGGGTCGACGGGATCGAGCGAGCGCGGTTGCTCTATTAATACATTACGCGGTCTACGGAGAAACGGCGCGACGTTCGGTATCGGGACGTAGTTGGCTGCGTTTACCACTAGGGGGTTCGGATGAGCTTCGGCGCTGTCAAAGTAGCGCTGGGACATCTCCTTAAAGTATTCGGAGATGCAGGGGAGTTGACAATCGCTGTGTAAATCAGAGTTCCGTTGATACCACCGTGCACCGGTGGCTTTACGGATGAAAAGGTTTTGAACTTTCTGTAGTTCGTTTAGGTGGGACTTATATGTATGTGCAAAGGCTACACTTGCGTAAGACATGATAGGTCTAACGCAGGATTTGTACAAATGGAGTTTGTGCCTTAGAGACAGCTTACTCTTGCTGTTCACAAGAGGATGGAGACGGCCAATAACTGACTTGGCTTTGTTGCGAACAATACTAATGTGTTTCGCGAAACTCATGTTGGCGTCAAACGTAACGCCCAGATATTTGGCCGAGGATTCCCATGGGATGGGGCGGCCGTATAAGGTAATTACCTTCATACGTTTTCTTGGTCCATTACCGGACTGTTTTGGATTCCGTTGAAAGTATATTGCTACACTTTTTTCGGGATTCACTTCAATTCTCCATTGGCGGAACCATTCGCCTAAGCGATTGGCAGCTTTTTGGAGTTTTAAAGTGAGAATATTCCTATTGTACTCTGATACAAAGAGAGCCGTATCGTCGGCGAAGAGAGCGGTGTTGACCGCTGGATCTTTAGGGATGTCACTCGTAAAAAGTGTAAACAGAATTGGAGACAGGGCGGAGCCTTGTGGGACACCGGCCTTAGGAAAGCGTTTCGAAGAACGGGTTCCCTCCACTCGATAGCGAAAAGAGCGATTTGAAAGGAAGGCTCGGATGATGTGTACGAGCCTGTCCGGCACGTTTAGTTTATACAGCTTGTAGAGCAAGCCGTCGTGCCAGACCTTATCAAATGCCTTTGCGACATCAAAGAAGAGGGCTCCCGTGCCTCGAGATTTTCTCCTTGTCGGATGATGATTGAAGCCAGACAGAATATATTCTGTTAGGCGATGAATTTGGTTAGTACATGAATGTTTGGCTCTAAATCCAAACTGTTCGTCAGGGAGGAGTCTGTTAGTTTCCGTGAAGTGACGGAGGCGCTTGAGGATAGTGTGCTCATATAATTTACCTAAGGTGTTGAGTAGGCTGATAGGCCTATAACTGGTGGGTCGGTTACGCGGTTTGCCCGGTTTATGGATTCCTATTACGTCTGCTTCTTTCCAGATATCCGGGAAAGAGCAGCTCGAGAGAAGCGCGTTGAAAATTCCTACGAGGAGGTAAATTAACGGTGCCGGAAGAGATTTGATCACCTTGTTACTGATGCCGTCTGGCCCAGGGGCTGATCTAATCTTAAGGCTTTTTATGGTCTTAGTGACTTCTTCGAAAGTCACGGGATCGAGTGGATCGCCCGCTGGCGGAAACGCAGCCCTACGTTCGATTTCCGCTTCTACCTCTAGCAGGTGAGCGGGATCTGTTGGTACGCTGGATGGGGTACACTGGCTCTCTAGACTGTCGGCTAGGCATTCGGCTTTTTCGAGATCGTCTAAGGCGAGATCGGGGTGGTCGAGCCTCACGAGAGGCGGCATGGGAGCAATTTGCTCTGCTTTTATGGCTTTAGTCAGCCTCCAAAAGGCATCTTGAGATGGTTCTAATCCCTCTAAGAGGTTATCCCATTTATCATTTCTAAATTCTACAACGCGTTGTTTAATCTCGTTTTGCAGAGAACGTAGCCGGATTTTGTTATCTTCCGTGCGATAACGGTCATATGCTTTTAGCGCGGAGTTTTTCGCTCTAATCAGCCGTCGAACGTCTGCCGGAAGCTTTGTGTACCGATCGCTCGACACACGAACCTTACGGGAGCACTCTTCGACCGCTGATGTGACGTGAGTCGATAGGGCGCTAATCGCCCTATTGGCTTCCTCCGGCGAGTCTATCTTGTCCGGTATTGTGTCTAAATGCTGGGAGTTCGTAGACTCAAGTTTGACCTTGAGCTTACGCCAGTCGACGATGGTTTTGGTCTGAGGGACCTCACCAGCCGACCGGCCCAGTTCTAATACGATCGGCCTATGGTCCGAGCATAGTTCGATGAAAGTTTCGATCGAGTTAATGTTAAGCCGGATGTCTTTTAAAATAGCTACGTCAAGGACGTCCGGTTGGTGACTAGTTATAAATGGGTAGTGAGTTGGGCTCTCAGGAGCGATAACGTCGAAGTTAAGTCTCTCCGTGAGGCCGCATAATATGTTTCCGTTTGGATTGTTTAGGTTAGAGTTCCAACTAACGTGCTTACTGTTTAGGTCACCCGCGATTACTACGCTGGGGCCTAGATTTAGTAGTGCCGAGATGTCGGCTTCTAATAAGGGTTTTTGCGGTGGCTGATATGCCGCGGCAATTATGACGGGCGGATGGCCCGTAAGTGCTATTCTACATACCGATGCTTCTAAGTTAGCAAGCGGTGGAGTGTCTAACGGTATACAGTGCAAGGACCTTTTGTAGTAGATCAAGGTGCCGCCTTTAGGTCCGGTCAGCCTATCATTTCTTACTAAGGTATAATTAGCTATTTTGGGATCGCGCACGCTAGGTTTCAAGAAGGTCTCCTGCACTAGCATGATGTCGACATCATGATCGCGTAAAAAGTACACGATTTCTTCCTTTTGATCTCTGATGCCGTTTGCGTTAAAGAACGCGACAGTCAGTGAGCTAGGTTTGGTTCTGCCTGTATGTTGTACTGCCATTTTG